TGTTGGGAGAAGATTGTCCCTGTTTTTCACATATCCCGTTGTTGTCAATCACGTCGCTGGTAACCCTCGTTCTGTCAAAAGTCTCGCGAGAACTAGACTACATACAGTTTCCAGAGCTCCCTTAAAAAAAAAACAAAATTCTGAAACTAACATACATTTCTGTTTTTTTAATATCGGGGGCAAGTCAAAATTATTCTCTGTCAACATGTTATTATTATTGATGCTCGTTTCCACCCCAGATCAAAACATTTTAAAAGACTTGAAATTGCGGGAATTAAAAAAAAAAATTAAAAAAATTGTACATTTATTTTTCGCAATTGCGACTTTTTATCTCACAATTATGAGTTTACATTCAGAATTGCGTGATATAAAGTCACAATTGCATGTTATAGTCAGAATTATGAGATATAAACTCGCAATTGCGAAAAATAAACTTGCAATTGACTTTATTTCTCGCAATTGCAAGTTTATATCTCACAACTTTATAACACGCAATTCTGACTTCAAATCATGCAATTCGGACTTTATATCTCCCATTTGCGTGTTATAAAGTCAGAATTATGAGATATAAATTCGCAATTGTGGAAAATAAACTCACAATTGACTTTATTTCTCGCAATTGCAAGTTTATATCTCACAACTTTATAACACCCAATTCCGACTTCATATCATGCAATTCGGACTTTATATCTCCCATTTGCGTGTTATAAAGTCAGAATTATGAGATATAAACTCGCAATTGCGAAAAATAAACTCGCAATTGACTTTATTTCTCGCAATTGCAAGTTTATATTTGACAACTTTATAACACGCAATTCTGACTTTATATCTCCCATTTGCGTGTTATAAAGTCAGAATTGTGAGATATAAACTCGCAATTACTAAAAATAAACTCGCAATTGACTTTATTTCTCGCAATTGCAAGTTTATATTTGACAAATTTATAACACGCAATTCTGACTTCATATCATGCAATTCTGACTTTATATCTCCCATTTGCGTGTTATAAAGTCAGAATTGTGAGATATAAACTCGCAATTACGAAAAATAAACTCGCAATTGACTTTATTTCTCGCAATTGCAAGTTTATATCTCACAACTTTATAACACGCAATTCTGACTTTTTATCTCCCATTTGCGTGTTATAAAGTCAGAATTGTGAGATATAAACTCGCAATTACTAAAAATAAACTCGCAATTTACTTTATTTCTCTCAATTGCAAGTTTATATTTGACAACTTTATAACACGCAATTCTGACTTCATATCATGCAATTCTGACTTTATATCTCCCATTTGCGTGTTATAAAGTCAGAATTGTGAGATATAAACTCGCAATTACGAAAAATAAACTCGCAATTGACTTTATTTCTCGCAATTGCAAGTTTGTATCTCACAACTTTATAACACGCAATTCTGACTTCAAATCATGCAATTCTGACTTATATCTCCCATTTGCATGTTATAAAGTCAGAATTATGAGATATAAACTCGCAATTGCGAAAAATAAACTCGCAATTGACTTTATTTCTTTCAATTGCAAGTTTATATCTCACAACTGTATAACACGCAATTCTGACTTTATATCTCCCATTTGCGTGCTATAATGTCAGAATTGCGAGATTAAAACATGCAATTCTGAGATAAAAAGTCGCAAAAAAGGTCATGCTTTCAGGTCATGACGCTGCTCCGAATAAGGTCTATTGCTGTCGATCTCCTGTAAGATCCTTCGCTGTTCGGACGCCAAAGCAGGACCGTCAGAGAGAACGTATGGGTATTCTATCCTGAGCCTGATTAGAGATGCTAGAAAATCAAATTAGTTTTTTTCTTTCTTAATTCTGAAATTATGCTAGTTAGTACCTTTTAAAGAACGTAAAACATATTGTGACAACTAAAATTGAAACATTTTCATTTGTTTTCAGTTAACCTTCAGTTAGCAAACAGCATAGCTTATTAGCGTTAACTGGTTGAGAAAAGCTTTTTTGATTAGCTAGAATAAGATATTTAACGTGTTAATGTTGTAATCTGGCATTGAAGATGGATATAGGTTCTTTTTTTGATGCACGAACATTACTCTTACGAAAAGTACTACAAAATAAAACGCCCAAAACATGGTTCTTACAGTTAAATCATGGTAACCTCAAAATAACCATGGTTTTACTAGTTTAGCCACGGCTTTTTGTGGTTATACAAATGGTAATCAATCCTCCAAAAACATGGTTACTACACTTTTACAATAATAAAACCATGGTTAATTTTCATAAGGGTAATTAAATCATATTGCGTGGTTTTTTTTCCAAATCAGTTTTTTATCGGTCAACTCCACAGTCGCCTGTCTAAATGTTCAGAATCGCAGCTTACGGTTGGGGCTAGTATTTGTTTTAGTGTTGTGTAGACAATCAGACTTGGTGTGTGGGCTTTACTGGTTTAGGGCTAAAAAATTGCTTTAACCTTCAGAAGCAATGAAAGGCAAGGTAAGAAACGTTTCCATACCTCACCCGTACCTTGGTAGCAACAAATGAAAATTTTGTGAGAGTTTGACAGAACAAGGTTTACCATCTAGTCGCGATTCGTGTCATCTCTCTGTGGGGATTATTTGGCAGTGGGATGTTGGTGACTTTAGGGGTGAGAAAGGGCTTCTGTGGCAACTGGATGGCAGGCGAAGTTGGTTTTGCTGACAAGAGGACGATTACGCCCAGCAGGTTAGGCTTCCGCATTCATACAGTCAGAGTGAAGTTTTCCTGCTCGGGAGGTTTTCTGACCCAGGTCCCTAATCCTGCTTCCCGTAGACCCTTCAACCACTGCAGCTTCACGGTCTGGTAGGTGCCGGCCGCCTGCTTCGCTTCACAGTACAGAGGCATACCACTCGGCCCATGGACCACCAGCTACAGAGAGAGAGGGAAGCAGAGGAACAACGATAGAAGAGTGATTCGACAGACAGAGATGGTGAGAGTGCAAAACAAAACGAATGAGGCGGCACAAACGTGGCATTTGAGCAGCTGTGTAATCTCTCCATTTAAATTTCACAAGCAATTGAACATTCTCCGTGCTTTTGTGCGTTTCTTTGTCACACACACACACACAAAATAAAAAAGCAGAGCAAAAAGGGGCGCGGTGAACGGAGAAAAGAAAAGTTTCTTTGGAGATTAGTGTGTGTGCTCTTGCGTCCCTGACTGCGAGCGCTGAGCGTTTGCCATGGGAGGCCGCTCAAGTGCTTTTCAAGATGATTACCATTTCCACAGTCATTAGACTTTAACTGCCAGCATTTGGTACAGCAGCCGGCATCTCTCCCATACATTTACATGATGAGGGCCTAATTCTGCCCTACGCTTTTTTTCCCCATCTCATAACAAATGGGAGCTGTCTGTTCTGGTTAATAAAAGCAGAATTATTCATCCTCAACTAGTTCTTTGGTTACACTTTATTCTGATGGTCCCCTATAGATGTTCTGTTGACCATAAGTAACGTTGGACCTACGTGTCAACTAACTCTCATGAGAGTATTGTTGAGTATTAGTAGACGGTTTGGG